TGGGGGCAGCAAGGGACAGAAGAGAAGCTGGAGGGGGCTCTGGGCAGGTGGTAGGGCCGGAAAGATGGCTGAGGGCCTTGCCTGGAATCTAGATCCTTCTAAATGCAAAGGCCCACCAGTGGAGGGCTTTACACAGGGTGAGCTAGCATTTGAGGCCTATTTAAGCTCTTGTGGTCAGGGTGGGCAGGAGCCACCAGGAAAGTGAAGGGGCCATCCTGTCATCCAGGCAGAAGGTGAGCACGGCCCAGCCTGCATGAGCAAGGAGGTGTGAACCCACCACACCCTCCTGACATGTGGGGGGCACCTGGGTTTTTGTATGAATTTTTTGGTTTTTTGGTGTTACCAGAGTTTGAACTCAGGGCCTCACGCTTGCTAGGCAGGTCTCTAGCACTTGAGTAGCTTCACCAGCCCACCTGGGTTTTTGGCTAAACAGATGCTACTGTCATCGGCTGATGGCAGAGGAAGAGCCGGGGAAGGGAGAGTTTCCTGGGAATCAAGCTAGAACTGCCTCATGCCTAGGGACATGACCACATGTGCCTTGTGCAGGCATCAGCATGGGTGTGTAAAGCCCTGGCCCATCTTGTCCTTAAGCTCTGCCTATGGCATGAAGACAGATGGTTCCTAAACAGAGCCCACGGGTCTCCTGTGACGTGAGCAGCAGAAACTGCGCAGTGTGTTCAGGGGAGCACAGGTCACATCTCATAGATGGCTGTGCCCCCCTGCCCCTCTAAGAGTGGCTAAGGACCATGGAGGTAACAAGTATGCCCCTGGGAACAGCTCTGAGTGCACTGTACTTTGTACTTTGAGTCTAATGCACTGTCAGAGCTCAGAATTTGCAGATGGGATTCCTGGAGCCCACGATAGGCAGGTGTGTGTGTGTGCCAGGGGTGGAGTGTGTATGAGGGGGTCATAGCTTTACAGATCACTCCACATGGGACCAATGCCAAACTCCACTTCAGAAAGTCACCGGAAGGGCAGGGCAGGAGACCGTTTAGAGCGAGATGCCCTTTTTGGAGAAAGTTTGGTCCAACTTGGTTTATATTTGAACCTCAAAATGTCATGAGGTTTATAGCAAGCGTGTCCATTATACCTCATCACAGCTCCTCACACCAAACAAACCACTTTCATCTTAAAGGTCCTTGTGGTTCTGCTTGGTAGCTGTGTTATTTCAGATTTACCTGTTTCTGCATGAAACCAGGTTCTTTCTAGGCTATGAGGCTGAAGCAGTTGTATAGGAAATCTACTTGGTTTTCTCCCATAAGCGGGTTTTTTTTTTTTTTTTTTGGTGGTACTGGGAGGAGGGGGTTGAACTTGGGGTCTTGCACTTGCTAGGCAGGAGCTCTACCACTTGAGCCACTCCACTATCCCTTTTTGTGTTGGGTTTTTCGAGATAGAGTCTTACAAACTATTTGCCCAAACTGCGATCCTCCTGATCTCTACCTCCTGAGTAGCTGGGATTACATGCATGAGCCACAGGCACCCGGTTGGCAGTGAATGTTTTAAGAGGGAGGAGTCACCCGCAGGGTGTGTGGCCCTCACCACATAAGCAATTCGAGTTGTTCCCAAGTCAGTGTGTCAGAACCATTCTGGGGGTTCCACCTCACAGGATCCCACAAAAACCAAAATATTGCCCTTGCCACCAAACCAATCTGCCTACCAGGGCACTCTTTGGAAACCAGCATGGACTCCATAGCTGTAGGATGTGGAACTCTTTGGGGGAACTGAGACAAGAAATGGGGACAGCTGGTTGTAGCCACCAGAGGGGTCTAAGACCATTTCAAGGTATTTTGAGCCACCGGGACCCATACAGGCTCTCTCAGGGCCCAGGACACCTGTCCACATGGTCCTCCTGCTCCCAGGAACTAGAAGGGGCCCAGGAAATTCCCAGGAGGGCATTCCAAATGCAGAGCCAAGGTGTGCTGGAGGAGGGCCCTAAAGCACAGAGCGCAGGGCTTACAGTGAAAGAAGTGAGAACCACATACAGCTTTAAAGACAGCAGTCTCTTCCATGCCTCATACGGAAAGAAAACCTGTTTTGAGGAGGAAGTCAGCTAGAATGTTCTTGTGCTTGCAATGTTTGCAGGTTTGATGGCAAAAGGTGGTCTCCCCAGGGGGTTGGAATTTGCAAGATGCTCAGACAAAAAGGCTTCCTTTGCCTTTTCAATGAGTGGCTTGGCCCAGTTGGCTGCAAGTACTCTGGAATCCCTGGGAATTGGCCTGAGATAGTCGTCATCAACCTACCTTTCTGGACATTACCTCAGAGAGGTTCAGAGAGGCAGATGAAACAGAACATCAGAGGTGTGCAACCTGACATCGGGGTCTCCATCACCTTGGGCAAATGGTTCTGAGCCCCAGTGTCCCATATAAAATTTGACAGGTTAATGAAGAGCCAATGAACACATGGGACATGCACTCCAAAATGTTCCCTGCTATATGAGCTCCAAGCATCAGCAGGCTACTCAAATAGCCACTTAGGGACACAAAGATACACCCAAGTGGTGGTTGCTTTCAACTGTTTTATTGCTAAACTATCAGAATACAAGCTGTATAAAAATACTTTACATATAGCAAAAATAAACTACATTAAACTGGAGATTAAAAACGTCTTGCACAGGAATGTGATATGATCTAAGTTTTAACAATCAGGATTTTCCATACTCAAGTCTTCCAGCACTGCCTGCTGGAACGACTCACTACTGTTGGAGAATTGTGAGGATGTGAACTTTTCTCTCCTCTGAGGGCACGGGGGTGAGTGGGGTTCTCTGACAAGACATCCGGGATGTGGGCTTGTGGTCCCACACCCACTCAGGCCTGTCAGGATGTTGGGGGCACCTGCTCTCATGGATGCACCCATCCCATCTAAACCTCGTATTTACTGTAATCTGCCCACAGCTACATGGAGATCCTTTACCTGCAGGACCCCAAACTCAGGGAAGCACCTCCCTCACCAGTCGCCAGAATTTGTTTTTAAACAAACTGAAGGTAGTGATGGTGGCTGTAACTAAGGCACCAGGAAAGCCAAGGGAGGTGAGGTTTGTGGTATTTGTGATGCTATTTTCCTTAAGCACTCAGGTGGAGTGCAGGAAGACTCCTGTGTGCAGTTCACCTGTCTGGTTTGGACCTATGAGACTTGACGCCCAGGCTCCAAGCTAGGGAAACCTAAGGTTAAGATGTGTGGTCCCTGAAGGGCCGTCCCTCCAGAAAATGAGTTTGGGAATGGTTACCCCAGTTTGTCAGGAACATCACGACCCCCGTGCCTCTTGTAAACGTGACATGAACACAATTGTGGAGTGCATCCCTGACAGTCTTTCAATTCTGCACAAAAGGAAGCACGTGGTGGGGGGTGTTTGTGACATGAAAATAAATTCAACCTCCCATTAGTTCAGAGACAATCAGAACACATCAGCTTCCCATCCGCTGAAGTGTGACACTCCAGCTCTGACCGAGGCTGGCCTGCAGAGATGCATGTCCTGGCCACTGGAGGCAAACGCACAATGCAACAGCAGTGCACCTGGGTCTTGGAAGGAATCAACTCATCCTTGGCTACATCTATGCTGGAAACTGTGGCTGTCCTTTGGATAAGGCACATGGGGGTCCTCGACCAGGACAAGGATGCAGTCGGCTCTGTAACTATGAGCCTGCACTTAGGGTCTGGTGAGTAGGAACTCAGGATTCCATACAATGTAGACAGGGTTCTGTGGTTGTTGCAAATCAAAATCCCCTACTGGATCATTTATTTACAGTGCAGTCCTCCTCAGAGACAAACCCAGGCTGAGGGCTGAAGAAAGCTTCTAGAGCGAGAAAAAGATGGCTTCTTTTTGCATAAACCCCTCCCTTTCTTGTTCTGAAGTGATCTCTTCCATTTGACGCCTGAGAGGCTTGCAGGTAGGCTTTTTCGTTTGCTTCCTGGACTGGTTAACCAAAAATTTCAAGAACACATTTCTCTTAATGGGAAAACATCAACATGTATAAAAAGACACATGAAGGGATTTCTGACCACTTATAAATATTTTCTAATTCCAACAGGGCTGCAGTATGTCGAGGGCAGATGAAAAGCATAAAAATACAGGTAAGAAAATAAAATTTAATAATGTATTCATTAATTTGGATTGCTATATATATTATCAAGCAGCAGTATTTTTGTACAATACAGGAAGACTTGCAACTTTTGGAAGTATACTACATTCAGCGACATGGCAGAGCTGTCCGAGTGCTAGGTATTTACATCACCGTGGGGGTGGTGAGTTCAGACCTGAACCGAGAACCTTCTGACACGCGTGCAACACGTCCGCTTTACCGTTCGGGCACCCTCGCTTTCTCCTTCTCTTCCTACACTGAAAATATTTCACAGGCGATTGTTCTTGGCGACATATCCTCCTGGCATCTGTCACTGACAAAACTTTCTTGATAGCTGTCGGTTCCTGATACACTTTCACTCGCGTGTTGATGTCATAACGAATGCCTTTTCTTTCCTTTGCTATTTGGTATAGCTGTTTATGACAGAGCTTCCTATACTACCCGACTAGGATGTCTTAGACAAGGACAGGGGTTTATTTGTTCATTAAACACACACACATGCGCACGGGGTGTGAGCTACCAGGAAGCCCTTTCGCTAACACAGTTAGAAGACGATGGAAAACGCATTAGCCCTTTTCACCCTGTGGACAAAGAAGCTGACCTACTGTACTACAATAGCAGGAAGACACTTGGTGAAGCACTCAGAAAGGCCCCTTTCCCTCATGTGCAAAAAATGGATCCAAGCCAGGGCAAGTGAGAACAAATCATTTGCCCCATTTAACTCTTCCCTGGAGAAGTGAGTCTTGCTGGAGAGAGAATTCTGTAGGTCCAGATGCAAGCAGAAGGGAGTTTCTTTGTTGAGGAAGAAGTGTCCAGCATCACACAAGTTCTGCGGTAGCCCTTCAACTTCTTGCTGGCATGCTGTGTGAGCGAGTGGAGCGTTTAAAAGAGAACTGTGCTCAGCTCTGTCCTTGGTGTGGGTGGAGTAAAGCTCCCTGCTGATGGGGGCACCAAATGCCAAGCGTCCATCAAAAGGTTGCCTACTCTTGGATGCGTGGGCCGGTATCTGGGCATTTGGGCTTCTGTCTGGAGCACCAGACACACCTGGCCCTGTTTTCAGGAAGGCATACCTCCGTGACCTTGACAGGACACAGAAAATCCATGGTGGGCATTTAGCAGCCAGGGCTTTCTGCCTGGAGACAGGGCTTAGAAATCAGTCTGACTACAGCCTTTCCAAGCAGGCTGGGGACAGTCCACTGTGCTACTGATTATTGGGGAACTGACTAAAGACTCAGCTTGCCCTGGGGTAACAGCAACAAAAGCAAACGGAAGCATGTCTGTGCCTTTAAAACTCACCTACCAAGAACCCCCCGGGCTTTGAACTTGGGGCCTTGCACTTGCAAAGCAGGTGCTCGACCACTTGGGCTGCATCCCTCATCTACTCCCAAGGCTTTGTTTGCACAAGTGGCACCATTGGAGGAAAAGATGGGGAGCTACACAATGACGGGGAGAAAGAAGGCCACACTGTGCACACAACTGTGCCACAGAGTGCTCTCAAGTAGCTCTGCTTCCGTTAGGGCGTCTGCGTCCACTGAAGCAGGCAGGGCATGATGGGCCAGCACTCTGGGGTCGAGGGGAAGTCTAAACGGATTTGGGTAAAAATAACCAATGAACTCTGAGCCAAAGCCTGAGGGTCCCTGTTTTACTCTGCATTTAGGGCTGAGAGAGAATTCTTTTGCTCGATCTTGGTAGAAATCCACTTATAGAAACGCTTGTTTCACAAAACACCTGCATTTTGTTTGGTTTCTGGTTGCTTTAGCCCTTTGCCCATTCCTCCTGACATTCGATGCATAGGTTTGAGGTCCTCCTGAGCTACTTGTGGAAGAGCTCTGGTCGGAAGGAAGGCAGAAAGGATGAGCCTGGAGAAGCAGCGAGTGTAGACAGCAACACCCAGAGCGGTGCGCCCAGCTCCCCCAGGACTGGGTGCTGTATTAGCTGAGGCTGGGGTGGGGGTGGTAAGAAAGTCACTGGCCAAGAGGACTCCACGTTGGCCTCCCTGGCCCGCTGTCTGGATCAGAGGAAAAAACAAAAAGATAAACTCGTGCACAGGTCATAACTTAGTGCCAAGGAGTTTTAACAGGTGATCGTGTCTGGGCAAGGCAGTTTCATGTTGGAAGGAGGAAATTCTACAATAAAGTTTTCACTGTGTCCCAGCTAATGGCATGGATGAAGCGAGTTCTAAGAATGAACTTTCTGTTTCAAATCCCATGAGGGTTTGGGGTTTTTTAGCCTGTAAGCTAGACTCTTGGGCCACATTCCTTTGGTTGCTCTAAGAATGTCTCTCCTTCACAAGGGGCAAGAGCCATTTCTGTGACCTGGGAAAATGGATGCAAGCAAGGGCTGGTGTCCCATCATGATGTCCACATCTCTGTCCCCCAGCCTGTCCCCACAGGCTCTGGCCACTCAGGTCTCAGAGTGTGGTTTTGGTCAGCAGGCACTTGGTATTTCCATGCTCTTTGGGACGTAAGACAAATTCAAAAGATGAGACACGCTGGTGCTGAGAGAGGTGGCGGGCTCGGGCTCCATGTCGACAGTCAGCTCTGTGACACACACATTGTTCCATGCGAGGGAGACAGACAAGAACAGGAGGAGGAGGCCAGCGGAGGGAGCCGGGGGTCCAAGACAGGAGGCAGAAGTCTTGTTATAATGGCTACTTCTACGTCTGATTTCTGGTGGGAGGTCCTGAAAACTCCTTCCTGATAATTTCATTAACTGAAAAAGAAAAGGGGGAAAGAGCAGAGGCGTGAGTGAGAGAAGACACCAAAAACACTTCTTGGGTGAGTTTTCTAAGACTGCAGTCAGGCTGTACTTTGAAGCACGTCTTTGTTCCTTATGATAATACATTTGAGAATTTGTAACACAAGAAATACCTCATGTCTTGTGCCCCAGCCCTGAATACTCTGTGGTGCAGCTCTGCTTAGATGGTGGCCTTTGTGGCAGAGCTGAGTTTGGGCCATCAGTGAGGCTTTAAGTAGCTCTCTTCCCTGTCTTTGGGTCGTGCTCTTGAGGCCTGTATGTATAATCAAACCACTTCTGTGACTGCCACATTCAGAAAATACCTAGTACGTAATCACGTCTGATGAAAACACCAGGGACCCTTAAAAGACTAAGGTGCCAATTACAGGAACGGGGTAGAAACTTCCCTGGCTCTGCAGGCATTTTGCCTTTGACACCCTCAGCGCCAGCCCCGTGGGAGAGCATCCCCAAGGCAGCTTAACCTTGGTGACATTCGGGAATTGGTTGGCTGGTCCCAGGGCAGAAGGAGAGAGGAGCGACTCAAGACAGAGGCAGGTCACGCTCCCCTTTCCTGACACTGACTTCTTCCTGCGAACTCCCTAGACTCTCTCACCCAAGTCATTTTCTGACATAGATGGAAAATGGCCACGAGAGCTGGCACAGTGTCCTAAGCCCCATCCTCCTCAGACTGGGGCTTCTGAAGCCTGGGGTGCTTTTTCCTGGAAACTTAGGCCCAGAGAAGTCTGTGACCCCATAACAAGGACGGGGAATATGCATAGGTTTAAAGAGTGGGCAAAGCCCGGTTTGACTCTCAGCTACCCCCAACTGGCTGTGTGATTTGACTTCTCTGTGCCTTAGTTTCCCCATCTGCATTGTTGAGACCACAAAGCATGAAGGTACATGATAGGAGGCAGCCCATGCCTTGGGAACGGTGCCCAACACCTGCTGACCCTGTGAGCACTTAGCAACGCCATGATGACAGTTAGCGACACCGCAGCACACGGCAGGTAGTCAGTACCCCCAGGCTTTGCCTTTCTGGTCAGGTGCAGTCATCGTTACTCAGGTTCACACTGAATGCACGTGCAAAGGCAGGGTGAGAGGTCAGGTCCTAGAGTCAGGCAGTGGGGTCAGAATCCCACTTCTGCAGGGCCCTTCCATTCTGTGCCTCAGTTTCCCAACTGTAAGTGGTGTCTAAACCATTACCCAGCTCCTGGACTGCTGAGGAGCCTGGATGAGACCATGAAGTAAAGGATGATTACAGTGCTTGGGATTCGAGCGTGACACCTGGATGGTACCAGGTGAGCATATATACACCAGTGAGAAGCGCTCCTGAGATGGACGTGGCTCCCTGCATAGGACCCCTGAGGGTGAGCTCGTCTACTCAGCTACCCAGCACCGTGGGCAAATGCTGGGTGCCCGGGGTCCTAACTGGAAGCTTAATGAAGAGACCCAGCCCCATGACAAGCTACAGGTGCTCTGTGGACATAAGGAAAGGAGAGTGCCAGGGCGGGGGCCGGCCCCCCACGCAAAGCTTTTCAAAGCCAGGGTTCTGAAGGCCTTCCTGTTTTCTCAGCCTCGGGAAGGAGAGGAGTTGATCCTTAATGGAAATTTTCCACAGTCTCAGCTTTCTAAAAATAGCCAGTAGGCATAGCTGTGGGCACCCTGGCCCTCTTGCGGGGTGGAGTCATTTCCTTCTCTGCATCAGGCTGAGTCCCGGATGCTGGGAGGCCTCACAGGCCTTTCCCTCCCTTGGGATGAACTCAGTCCTGCTGGCCAAAAGCTACTTGCATGTAGAAGAGTCACACGTGGAACATTCGAAAACATTTCTTGTTTTATGCTGCTGGGTGGTGGCTGAGGTGGTGGCCCTGAAGTTCAGACCCCATTGCAACCTGTCTGAGAAGGAGCCTTTTTTTTTTTCCTGAAACCTCAACTTGCTCCCCTGGCTGAGACCAGGAAAAAGTTCTAGCCCAGAAATGACAGCTAGGCAGTGGCAACTGTGTGCAGCATGGCCGGCTAAAAACTTGGGCTTCAAATTCTGAGAGGGTCTCTCTTCCAACCCCTCTATCCAGATTCATGTCCTGCTTGCAGGGCATCTCCCTGCAGGGCACTGGGGTGAAGGGAGACTTCACTGCCTTTTGAACTGAGTCATAATGTCCGCCATGACATCTCACCCTTTCTCTTTCCCCATTTAGGGGAAGGCATCTAACTCAATCACCTTCTCCTTCCTGGGTCTCCTCTCTCTCTCCTTCCTCACTCTATCCCTCTGCGTGTTTAAGCTCCCCACTCTGGCCTGTCTTCCACCTGCCTCCCCCTGCCCTCTTTCCTCATCCCCTGCGACTTCGCCTGCTGCTGCATTCCTGCTTGTGCACTGCACTCCCCCTGCACCAGCTTCCATTCCATTCTGCGACTCAGGCCACCTCGGAGCCTCTGCCCTTCTGGTCCCCCAGTCAGGCTCACACCATTCCTGCCTCTTCTAACACTTTTCTCCCCAGCTTATGTTATTCTGGTCAGGCCCAGGCTTCTCACAGCAGGGAGCGCTGGGTCCCCTGGGCTCCTTCACTCTCTGTTGCTCTGGCAACTCTCTCTACATTGCTGCGTGTGCTCGAGTGCCCTGCTCTATCTTGTGCTCCAGGACATAGGAAGTCTTGGTAACACTTGGTAACAAGAACACATTGCTCAGAGAGGGCTAAATGCACTTCAGGTCCCACTGTTAGAGCTGGGTGTGGCCCACAAGTATGACTCAGAGGTCTGAGTCTCACCCAATCATTCATCCAACAAATGCTTTGAGCATCTATCCTCTGCCAGCTCCTACCTTTCCTCCTGCCTCGTCCCACACTGGGCCACTGGCAGGTCTCCACACAGCCCCTCCCCATGTCCCAGTCAAACTTCCTTCCTGCCCTTGCTCCCTCATCATGCATTAACACTGTGCACACATCAGACGCTCAACGCACACTCATGGCCTGCCACAGACCCCTGCACTGTTAGCCTTGGTACTCAGTTTACAGGAGCTGGCTTTCCTCTGTCATTTGATTGACAGGTGGGCAGCTGCTTTGTTACTGCCCTGAAGACTTTCTGTGTACAAAAGAACTCGAGCCACGCACACATTGAAGGCCATGGATCGAGCCCTGTACAGGGCCAGAGACTATACTGAATTCTCCCACCACCCTGAAGTGATGTAATTCTCACGCTCATTTAACAGATGGGGAAGTAGAGACTGGCAGTCTCTTGTCACGGCAGTGAAGGAGTTTGAACCCTGCTGCCTTGACCTGCACTCTCTGGGGTCTATACAGTAGTCGGAGCCTGTGCTGTGAAGGTTGGTGTTCATCACCTTGCCTCTAGGGACTCAGGACCTGCACTGTCTTTCGCCTGCGGTCAGGAAGAGGCCAGGCAGCCTCTGCGTTAACAGTAGACAGGGCTGGAGCAGGCGCCATGCCTGAGAAATCCCCACCTTCTCAGAACAGAGTGGGGCAGGGTCAGCCCACCACAGCACCCAACCTCCATCAGTTGGAGGCCAGGACCCAGGATGAATGTGTCTCTGACCTCACAGTGACTTTTAAGCCTGACACCTAAGGCTGTCACCGGAAAAGAAAGATGGGCAGATTTTTTTTTTTTTGCAAAAATTATGATGCAATATTTCTAGCATAAATGACAAGTTATTTATAGAGAGGCATTGCAGCTCAAAAACAAACAAAAATAATAATAAAAATGGCTGCAGAGAAACAGAAGAAGCTATACCAAGGGCAACAAGCCCTGTCTGTAAGGGCTAGGTGATGTCTTCACTTGGTAGCACTGTGAGCTCTTTCTCAACTACTCGACTTTGTCATTGTGGCACAGAAGCAGCCGTAGGGGCAACAGATGAGCAAACAGGCAGGGAGGGGCTCCAATAAAACTATATTTCCCAAAACAGGGGTGGGGGGCAGATCTGACCCCAGAGCCAACTAATGTATACTAATGGCAAAGAGGAGGAAGAAACTAGTGCACTCTCCTTGCCTACTTTGGGGTGCAGTAAGGTGGGAATCCAGAGCCTCCGCTGGTGTTATCCCACAAGGGCTTGTGGATGGTTTTTGCTGGACTCAACTCTGCTAGCATCCCCCTCTGCGCTGGACGTTTTCTGACTCCTTCTCCATCAGCACACAAGGCCTTCCAACTCCAACTGGCAGAAGGATGACCAGGGAAACTGCACCCTTCTACATAGGTGTATTGGGGGGCTTTCAGGGGTCCCCTACCTTAAGCCTTCATCCCTTAACTGCTGACTTTGGGGCTTCATTCCCTTGAGAAAGAAGTACCAGGAAGGAGTGGATGGGCCTGCTGCCTCTCTCACAAACCTCACCCGCTTTCTACAGTCTAGCTAGATCCATGAGCGCTCACCAGAGCCTAAGGGCCCAGCTACAAAGACCATGGCCAGAAAGACACTCCTCCAGCTGAGATGGGAAGGGGAGACTATGTTCTAGGTCAAATCAAAGAATGCAGGAGCCAAGAGAGGTTCCACAAATCTCCTCTGCCCCACAGTGCTATGCTGAAATCACTCCCAAGATCCCCGTGGGCTGGGGTCAGGATGAGACAACCCTGCAGGCAACAGGAAGCACTCTCTGGGCTAGTCTGCTGTCTGTTCCAACGGTAAGTGGGCACCCAGGAAGAGGTCCAGGCTTCAACTCCATTCCCTGAGCAAAGGAGCACACAGTGGGAGGGGCCAAGGAGGACAGCTGGCCTTCCCTGTGACTGCTGCTCACGACTCAGGAGACATCGTCTAAAGTCCCAGCTCTCGGGCTCTGTTAAGTAGCTTTCTAGCCTCCAGGAACTTGGGGCCTTTGAAGAATTTCTTTCCAGAGGAGCCCAGCCAGGTCTGACCACAGAGGATCATCTCAAAGAACAGAAATACCACAACAGGACTATAGCCTGAAGTGTTGGGATCCGATGCATCCCAGGCCAGGTCAGTGCTGGGGACAGCTGAAGACGTAGCAGCTGGCCGAGCTCCA